TATATATGGTGTTTAAGTGTGAGGATGTAAATATAGAATATATAAAATTAAAAACCAAACCAACTGGAATTTATTCTGAATTTTAAAAAAAAGAAACATAGTTGAATTTTTGATGTTTTTTGGGATTGCTCATGACCTGGTGGAAGAGTGCCAGGTATTTACAGGTGTGTTTCAGGTTAGACTCCCCTGGTTACTCTGAGGTCCAGTTGGAGCAGCAGAGTGTTAACTTTTAAATAACTTTATGTAGCTAAAGAGAGAAAAAAAACACATTAAAACGGAATTTAATCACATTTTACACTGTTTAAATGTATATTTACTCCGGTTTGAGTAGGAAAATAAAACATGGGCTTTAAGTTTATATAAAAAAAATAAAACAATGATCAATTTGTTTTTTTATGGAACTGGAAACTGTTTTATGTGCCTACTATGAAAAGGTCAAAGGTCAAGCTTAGTGCATACACAGCAGCAGCTGGTTACAAACGATCTGTATGGTTTAAGTGTAAAAATTGGATTTATTATTAAATTTTAAATATGCATTTACACATGAATGTAGTTTAGGAAGGTGTGTTAATGTGTAAAGACTAAAAACAGCGGCGGGATGACGCCCTGCCTGACAGAACCAGCTGCGGTCGCTCTGCCCCCTGGCGGCCGCGGCGGCGCGCTGCAGCTCAGCTGTGCGCGTGCAGCAGCTGCAGCGCACATGGCGCGAGCGGCTCTTTGTTTATTGTCTGCTTCTCCACATCGTGTTCAGGCTGCATGAAAAGCATCGGAGCGGCGGAGAGCGCAGTTCTCAACCCATCACAGCTGCCGCGACGATTAATTATCCCTCAGAGGAAAAGAGATATTCATGTATTGATATCTGCGCAAAGAGGAACGCGGGTGAAACGGTCTCGCGTCTCTATAAATATCATGCAAATATTTCAATTCATATTAACATACTGAAAAGAGGACGGCGCAAACATTTCGTTCAACGAAGAAGAATCGCTCTCGACCGGCGGAAGGATACAATTTTAGGAGGCAACGCTAATATAATTTTAATAATTTCAATGACGTAACCGCTCCAAACTCAAGCGTACGTATTTCCAAAGCAAAGGGGAAATAATCGAAACGTAGACAAAAAGTCAAATATTCGTTAATTTAACGAAATGAAGGGACTACTTTTTCGTGCCGCTTAATTGAAAATCAATAAAAAGCATCCAGCAGTTCGTAGCAGGTTTGACGAGGCGGAGTTTTTTTTTTTCTTTCTTTAGCGTCAAGACACGTTTCATGTTTGAGTTTTTATTTTTTAAAATGACATTTAGGAATAATTTGGCAAAGCGGCCAATTTTACGATAACTTATTTATAAACGATATGAAGGTTGCTGCGCATTGATTTAACGTAATTACATCGTTTTAATTTATTTCCCACGAAGAAGAGATTATCTGTTATTTTTGTAAAAAGGCACTGCGCGACAACTAGACAAATATTTACATACTGAATTTTTTTGGGAAACAGATTCTCGTGTTTATTTTACACGGATTTAATTCGTTTAAAGGCGCACAGAATAAAGAGACACACAGTGTAGAGTTAAGCAGAACAAGTGCTTTAATAACCTGGAGTGAACGCTTAATGCAGTGCATTATTATCATTTAATGTGAAGTACAATAAACATACATTTAGTTCAGTTTTCACCTCTTTTTCCACTGAAGAAAAACAAACTGTTGTCCGAGTGACACACACACACACACACACACACACACACACACACACACACACACACACACACACACACAC